CCAAGGTAATCCTTACCTGTAGCCATCTATGAAGCTGGCATTGATGTAGTCAGAGCCCTCGACACCCCGGATGGGCTGCAGGCAGACTCTCGTCAGCTCATACGGCATGATGTTCACGAGGCGGTTCTTGAATTTGTTGCAGGGGAGGTTGGCACTGATGAAACGTGAGGTATGTGCTTTAGAATTGGCCAGCAGCTGAAAAAGGAGGAGACACATCAGATCCCTGCTGGGGATGCAGCAGTCTGGGGGCAGAATCAGGACCCTGGCAGCAGTCATGTAGTGGAGTGGAGACCCACAGCAGCTCTTTGACACACTCAGAGTCATGAAGTTTTATACCTTGCTGAGCCAGGGATGTATACTTGGTGGTGGCAGGGAAGCAAAGCTTTTCCTCTTCCAACAATGTCTTTCTATTTACTTCTCACCCCAGAAGAACCCAAGAAAATGTGAGAATTGTGACAGTTTTAGGTAAAGAATATCTATTTTGGACTACTGTGAGACATTTTATGGCTCTCTTTGAGTCCCGTAAACTGGAGTCATGGTAAATGTGTTACTCAGATCTGCTGGCAGATTCAAACAGAAGTCACTCTTCCCACCGCCAGCTTTTTTTTTTTGTTTGTTTTCCTCCCCCAAAAGACTGCCTCCAGCATCTCCAGAACCACTCTATGAGTGGCAGCTGGATCTCAGCAGAGGCTCTCTGCAGAGGGAGAGGGTTCCTCTCTGAGGAGCAGTGCAGCCATGTGAGGCCCTCCCATATCCTGCTCCCCAGGGTTTCACATGCAGTGGATACTGCCAAGGCACAGAGAGGTGCAGTTTCATTACTGTTCTCAAGAGACCCTTGGAGAAATGAAAGGAAAATAAAATTTTGTCTTTCTTACAACAGAATTTCTTGAGTTGAGCACAATTCTGTGGCTCTCCTGAGGAGTTTCTCAGGGCAGGTGTTACCATGACACACTCAGGCAGCATGTTTTACTGTCCTAACCCCAGGATACCAGCAGCTCTGATAACCACAGGACAGAGCTTCTCAACTATTCCCAGTTTACATGGAAAGTCAATATTTTGCCTTTCCTGCTCCTTTGTCACTTGGAGGGAATCCCCAGGGTGAAGCTGTACTGCTGCAGTTCATTTCACAGCCTGCATGGTCTGCTGCCTCCCTGCGTGAGCTATATTCACCTGCAAGAGTTCACTGGACTAATGCACCTCATCTGAGAATATGGGCACTTAACAGAGCTCATTTCTAGCTCCAAGGCTGTAATAAATATCTGCAGCTGGCATACACAGATACAGGCAGAAAAATGTGGGCTTGGCTTCTTAAAAATGGTGTGCCTTAAAACACTGCCTTCACCAATTCTAGGCAGTGAGGCTTGGTGTTGAGGTGGTTAAAAGATTACAGAGCTCAGCATTGAAGAAATGAGACCAGAAATGTATCACATATTTAAATTGGAGCTGTTTCCAGACAAGTTGTTCACAGTAACATCAATTATCACTAACATGATCTGCATCTGATTTCAGATGCAGCTCCTGCCGCATAGTGAACCTAGAGCAGAATGTGCTGCTGGGAACTGCACATCCATCTGCCTTTTATATCCTCCCCAGAAGCTGCCAATCCAGGGGGGACTGTGGCCGACACAAGCTTTACAATTCAAATGTATTTTAAATCACTGCCTACCTGCTTTAGAAACACACAAAAGAATAATTGTCTGTAATGATCCATAGCCCACCTCTCCCAACCCCTGGATGAGTGGCCCATGGAGTGTTTTGGGCAGAGAGAGGGCACTAGAGAAGTGGGCTGCTGGGGCTCTGCCACCAACCTTGAATTCCAGCTCCATTGAAGTAACGCTCTCGCCTGGTGGCACCTGGGTCAGCTTCTGGATGTGGGCGAAGAGGTTGCGTGCAGGCACCTCGGTATTGCCACAGGTGGCGGCCTCCAGCAAGGCCTCATGGATGAAGATGTACTGGTCTTCTGTCTGCACCATGTAGTTGCGCTGGGAGCGCATGCATGTCACGTGGCCGTAGATGTCCACGGTCTTCTCGTGCTTCATCCGCTCCAGCATGGCATCGATGACAATGAAACAGCCGGTTCGGCCCACGCCAGCACTGCAGAAACAAAGCACACAGTCTGAGATGACACAGTCTCCTACAGATGTCACACGAGCTCTAACAGTGCTTAAGAGATCACCCAGATTTAGGGCACACAAAAGGGGCGTAAAGACTGCTCCCTATGAGCAGAGCTCCAAACAAGAAGTGACAGGAGGATCGAGGGAGAGAATCATTGGAGAATGTGAGAAGCTCCTCAGCCTTTCTGCTGTCCCCTTTCACTGCTGGAGTGGAAAGGACATGGTGTCACCCTACTGATCCCTGTGGTGGCTGGCAGCCCCTCCACAAAGGAAGGAGAAATATGTTTAACAGTCAGGAAGAGTGACAGCACATGTGTGTGTGTGAAGTCAGAAGACGTGAAGAGCAGGCTGTGCCCTAACACCAGCAAAGTCTGTAATTTCCAGCCTGCTTGTCCCCTAACCTAGGTCACTGTTTCCTCACCCATAACATGAGCACAGGCAGCCTGAGAGGGGAAGCAGGTCATACACGAGGTCATGCACGACTGTGCTGAGCCCTTCGCTCAAGCACCAAATCCCTCTCCACAACTGTTGGAAGGGCAGTAGAGCAAACCTCTCACTTCTCAAAGCTACTCACTTCGAGATCACCTTGAAAACAACAGATACACTGTTGTGACATGCAAACACAGACAGAGATAGGGAGCTAGGCATTTCCTCATTTATGGTTCAAGTCATATCCTTAACAGGGCTTTAATACAGCTTGTTTGTGTGTTAATTATACTCCACTACCATCTGAAACAGAGCATGAAAGAAGAGCATTAAGCACTGCTGGTAAGGCGTATGCTGGAACAGCTATGATGGAGTGGTTTGTTCAGTAACAGTCCCCTTTTGGCTGGTACAAATAAATCTTGGCTGGGTAAGATGCTGAGCCTTAGTAGACTAATATTTTGCTTTAAGAGCTGCCTTTCTACCCTGTGAAAGAGTGCTGCTGTAAATATTGCACATGAATGTTCGTAGAGGTCACTGCATGTATTTCTGTCAGTGATATGCCTCTGAAGGTACCACCCACTTAGGCTGGGCATAGATAATTTAATTTTTAAATGGCATTTGCAGTTTTGCAGGAGAATGTGTTTTCTGAGGCTTTCCATATAGCAGTGCTGTTTAATCTGATACAGCAGCAGCAATAGAAATGCCACCACTGCATTACCACTGCCGGGCCTGTTCTGCTGCCAGCCCAAGCATGCAGTGCAGGTTATGCTACCATGAAACCTTTCCCACAAGAAGGGGAGACTCCACTTTCAGACAGGTTAAAGCTCCTGCAGCCAGAAGGCAAACATACAGTCCTACCTGCAATGCACAACCATGGGCCCAGCATCTGTTGGGTTACAGGCCTTGACCCGTCGCAGGAAAGCGAGGATTGGGGTGGGGTATTCTGGGACTCCGTGATCAGGCCAAGCCATGAACTGGAACTGTCGGAGCTCTGTCTTCTCATTGGAGCCATTCTGTTGACGACAAAGAGGAGTTGTTTTGCATGAGAACAGTCTCATCCCAGTGCAGGAACCCGCTGATGGGGCTACAACAACAGGCACCGAAAGCTCTGCGTGATGATGCATGTACTGGGCTTTCACCAGTGAAAATTTTGAGGAAAAATGCAGGTTTATTGCAAAGCTCCTATACATACAGATGCTCTGCAGAAAGGCAGTTTTACAGACAACAGAGCATCTCTGCAGTAGTGGAGCAGACTGCAGGGAAGGTGAAAGACTTCTCTGCACAGCACAGGTATACTATCTGCATACTCACTGCACGTTCAGGGAAAATTGGCACTGGGCATGGAAAGGCTACAGCAGCCAGTTCCCTCCCTGCTCCTCTGCATCATGGTGTCCCTGGGCTGAGTGATCAGCCTGTGTCTGCAGACTGCCCTGCTCTTCTCTGGGCTTGGCTGAGTGACCTATGCAGCAAGCAGTAGGACTGGCTGAGTGATTGCTGGGGCCTTCCTGGGACATCAGTGTGTCCCCCCTGAATACTGGGCTCCTGGCCCAGACTCAGTCACACACAGAAGCAGCTTGCTGCAAAGCCTGTCTGCATTGACATGCTGCTGCTGGCACAGCCCCAAGGGATTTCCAAACACTAATGAGGGATGCAGTAGTCAGGAGAGAAGGGTTTGTACTCACATCAGAAATTGCCCCTCCATTTGCATTATTAGTGACAGGAGTGATAAAAATTCACTGCTTCCCATGTTGTCCCTCTAATGGGAGGCCAGCTGCTACCTGTACACTTACCAGTGGCAAGAACAGCCCTGCTCTGGGGCCCATCGCAGAAAGCACACAGAAGAGCTTCAAGTATCCTGGCCAAAGTCCAGTGGTAGCCAGATGCGCAACTTGCAGCTGATCTCCTACTGTAGCCCATCTGTGAGACATGGCTCAGGTGTGGACTGGCCACATGCTTGGCCAAGCCAGGTACAACCAGTGGCCACTGCCTGTGAGCCATGGAACACCCTCAGCATTGGGAAGCATCTCTGCAATACGTGAAGCAGCACCAGCCCAGCCAGTCCCATACCTTGCACAGCGCGAAGGTGCGGACAGTGTAGGTCGCCAGCTCGACTGTATCCTGTAGGGTCACCTGGATCATCCCATAGGTCTCCGTACCCCGGCTCGGCCAGTACTGGTCACACTTTACCTGCAGGGAGGTGAGGACAATGGGTCAGTGATTGGCTGCTGGCTGGGGCATCTGGGATGAGGAACAGGGCTTTGCCCTTCAAAGGGTAAAGACAGAAATGAGTTATTGTGTGGGGAGGGCCTCTAAATCCAGATTTCCTTCTCCCAGAGTGTTCCAATCCCCTGCTGCAAAACGGCAGCACTCCCTGGACACCTTTCCGTAAGACTCAGAATCACAAGAATATTCTGAACTAGAGGGACCCAAAAGGATTATCAAGTCCAACTCTCAAGTGAATGGCCCATATGAGATTTGAACCCACAGTCTCAGTGTTATTAGCACTATGCTCTGACCAACTAAGCTGATCTCAATGAATGGCTACTCATTGAAAAGGGGGATTTTCTTTTTCCCCTGGAGCCATTGGTGGAAGTGGCGAAGGGGGCCAGGCCACCAGACAGAGCAGCAAGAGCAGCATTAGATACGAAGACAGTGAGCAGCAATTTCTAGCAGTGATTTATTTGTGCCTGCCGTAGTTCTTCTCTGCCTCCTGTTCGGTGAGATGGGCATCTTTGGGCCTTTGCTTGAACCACCCCCTGCCTGAGCTCCACCTAGATGAAGAGCAGCTGTGGGTTGGTGGGAGAAGAGCTAGTGGAGCAGGGAAGAGGAAATGGTGGTTTCTGTGGACACAGCTCTACTCAAAGGGCAGCTGAAGTGAATGAGATGCAGCCTGTATCCTCACCAGCTTCCAGCTATGCCAGCCTGGCATCCTTGACCCACAATCTGCTGCTCTGTGGCAGGACAGAGCTGAGTCCAGCACAGTACACAGAAACACAACAAGAGGCACTACCTTTCCTGTAACATCCGTAGTCCCCAGGATGCACCTGTTCATCCCAGGATGAACTCAGGCAGCAAACAGATGGGACACAGCCCATGCCAAGACTCCAGCTTGGATGTTGTATCCATCCTCTCTGCACTGCTGTGCATTGACCATCACTAAGTGACACCAACCTGCCCCTGTGGCAGGTGGCACATCTCTGAAAATCTACATCTCACAGGTCTTTCAAAATGGCTCTACAAGGAACAGATGCCAGCTCAGAGACAGATGCATCTTGTTCTCCCTCTGCAAGAAGACACAGGCTGTGGGCAAACCATCCCTTCAGCCCCTTCCTGCAGGCAGCACTGTCCCATCATGAAAACACTGCTGCTCCCTAGTAACTTCCTGCCCTGCATCATCCTTATCACCCCCTTCCAACTCTGCAGCCAGAATGCTTTGAGCTACTGGTCACAGGTCTTGCTGCATCCCACTTGGCAGACAGCCAAACACATCCCCAGAGACCCATCCCTCTCCTCCTTCACATCCCTTCCCGCTCACATGCTGCTGCTCTTCTCCTCCTCTTCACAGCTCAGTGTTTGCAATCTACTCCTCCGTTTTTTTTTTTTTCAGTGAAGCCCCAAGCTCTCTATTTAATTGGCACCCTGAGCATCCCTGTTTTATCTGGTACCTGGCTCCTCCACCCTGCAGAGCTACAGTGTGTAGCTGACAGGAGGAAGACTTCATTCCACCCATGTGCACCACACCGAAAATGGTTTCCCACCCTAGGAGAGAGGACTGAATGGAAGATCATCTGTGTTTGTCAAGGAATAGTAAACTTAATTATTAGCAGAACGTGTTTACAGGGGAATATGTGGGAAGGGAAACAATAAGCTTAATTAGGAATCAATGAAGTTATGCTTTTTAATTGAAACTACTTGCAGCAGGGTGAGGCTTGTGAGAGTTAAGAGCCCTCATCCTGCACTCTGGCTCTGGAGTGCAGCAACCTGGAGTCAGAGGGATGCAGCTCTCCCTGCTTTTTGAGTTCTGCTCTCAGTAAGGCCTGCCCTGGCAGAAATGCCTGGAGCAAGGCTGCCTAATGAGGTACTGCAGGTGCCTGAGCAAGCAGAGCAACTCTGCTGCCTCCCGCCCAGGGTCTCCTGCCATTTGGGCTGCTGTGCTGCCTTGGATCTGTGGCAATATGGCAGGCCCTGCAAAATACTCAGAATTCCTCTTCCTTGCTTGGCACAGAGCATTTGATGCTGACTGGCTGCAGCACCAGCATCTTGGAGGTCCCAAACATTATTTCACAGCTAAACTGATCCCATCCTCATGAATGGGTGGCAGCTGCAGGCTGTCTCCACAAGCCTGAGTTTGTCTTGCCTGGCTTGGGGATGATGTGATCCTCTCTAAGGGAGAGGAGAGCATCATGGCATCCTGCAAATGCTGGGGACAGCTGCTTGCTGTAGTTTGCAGGGGATGTTTCAGGGGAACAGCACAGCCTGTGCCTGAACCTACACCTCAGGGACAGTAGTCCCCTCCTGCCACCCACATGCTGCAGGGCTGTGTATTCGAGCACAAAACAAACTTCAGAGGAGTTCCTTGTGTGGGATAATAGCAATGCCTGGGCTGGTAATTGAAAATTATTTATTCATGACCAGATAAGAGTCAGTCACATTTTCTGCCAAATTTACCCATAATGTTTATGCCCCATTTTCAAGCTCTGTAAATTTTATGCTGAAGCCGATGCACTGTGGCACTAAAGCAGATAAGAGATGTTTTCTTCTGGCAGTGCTTGTTTCTCATTAACTTAAGGAGCACAGTAATGTCCTGAACAGCCATTTATTGCAGCTTTGTTGAGTGGCTCCTGTCCCTCCCCTTTGATGCCCTGAGCCCAAGAGCAGCCGGGCACCTCTCTTTAGCTTGAGAGCTGTGCTCTGCTCCTGGGCCCTCTCACAAGCTCCAGATGGCACTGCTGTCAGCAAGAGGGCTGGAGCATGCATGATGTGGCTGCCAGGCTTCTCTTCCCCAGGGCCCTTGAGCACCAGCCTCTTAACACCCCTTCCTGGGGACATGAAATGCCAGGGGAGATCACACCCTAGAGATGGCTGCTTGGTGCTCTGGGCTGGAACAGAACATGCCAAAGCACTGCTCTGGGAGACCTTGCTCTGCCAGGCTCTAGGGGATAGCCCAGGGTAGGAGAAATCCTGCTTTAATACCTCTCTCCTGGCAACACAGCCCGGCAGGGACGCACCAGGCTTGCAGCTTCGGGAAAGCTAATCTACAGTGTGTGTTTCTGAACTGCCACCAAATGATTCTGAAACTGATTGTAAAGCTTTGAAGGCAGCTAAATTGAACAATCCAGCCATTTCTATCTTTTATGTGCTTCTCACTTTGTTGAAAACATGAAAAAGGGAGGATGATTTAGACCATCAAGCCAGCTGAAATTGCAGACCATAAAAGCTGATGCTCTTTAAAGATTTTTTTTTTCCTCTGCAGCTCAGGAACCCTTTAAAGCAGTGTCACCCCCACAGGGCTGCCAAGCTGCTGCTGGTCCTGGTTGACTTATCACAGCACTACTGAGGGTGACCTGGGGAGCTCGCCTGGAAAGGCAGCAGAGCCTGCTCTGCACTCTGGGCAGCTCGCCATGAGGCCTTGCTACCTACCCCAGGCTCTGCAGCTGGAGAGACAGCCCTGTGCCTGTGCCAAAGCCGCTGGGCAAGGGGACTTTTGAGCAAGGTCACCCTTGGGTAATGCTGTGATGCCATGTGACTGCCTGGAGCAGTGTTGTCCCACAGCAGCATAAGCATCAGCAGGCAGCAATGCTGCAGGGACCCAAGGGGTTACATCAGATGAAGTTTGAAGGCTCTGGAGCGGAATGAACTTCAAAACAGTGACTCATGCTGAAAGTTTGGACCAATGGGCAATGACTGGGATTAGGATTTTCACTGGTCCCAAAAAGGTGTGCTCCCAAGAGAGCTCTAGCCATCACCAAAATGGCATGAGGAAAAGCATAGCAGGAAGGTGGCTAAAAGCCATCTTGCCTTGGAAGATGCTGAAAAAGACAACAAAAACCCCCAGAGAAAATAATCTCCTGAAAGTCCACTTCAAGCAGGGCCCTGCTGTGAGGGAGTGCCCTAAGACACCTACAGGGTACAGCAAACACATCCAGGAAAGTCCTTGCTGTGGATCACTGGTTCAACTCAGAAGTAACCAGTCCTCTCCACTGCCTCTCCTGGCAACCTGCCTCTCCCACAGAGAAAACTGCCCACTTCTCATTAGTGCTGGGGATGTGCCAAAGAGGCAGCAGGGCATAGGCAGGCATTGCCAGGGAGCAAATGCAGGGGTCTGGGTCTGGTCAGGTCAGCCTAGAGTCCCTGGGCAGTGTGCCCAATCAGGCAGGCTGCCTGAGATTCTGTGAGGGCTCTGGTCACCTCCTGCCCATAACAAGGATTCAATGTCACCAAAAGCCTGACCACATGCACTGTTTGTGACAGAAACCAATACTGCAGGATGATAGGATGGGGTGTGCTGGGGGGAGATAACACACAGCTCAGCAGCACAGACATCTCAGGCAAAGACAAGTCCCTCTGGGGTCAAAGGAAACCTGTTATCTTCAAGAAACATGCACCTTGGAGTGCCTTGCCATAACTAAGAAGCCCAGAAGTTAAGTGAGTCAGGATTCCAGGCATGGATTTATTTGGCAACCCAGAAGCACTTTTCCCTGTTCTTCAAATATATGCTCCATCATTGAAATATGAAGGCACAAAAAAGTCCCTATATAACCCTCAGCTGCAGAGCACAGTTGATCAGAAACTTCTGATTTTGCTTAGTCTGTGTGCCAAGCCCTGAGCCACAGGGCAGGTCAGAATAATTTCCCTGCCTGTTTAGGCTGTGTGGGTGACAGTGGCCATTGGACAGAACAGGCAGGGCTCTGAAGCAGGAAGCACAGTGCAAAGCTGAGATTGGATCTCCAGAGACACCTCATCTTCAAGGAATGCTCTTTTTCACTGCAGGCTGTAGGGCATTTGAAGAGCCCAGGAAACCCATCAGCAATGCCTGTTCTTTGTACATTAGGAAAAGCAGATCTGTTTTGCCATGGTGATTGGTGCTTCCAGCCACTTCCTCTCAGCCAGGATGGGCTGGGACACCCCTGCAAGCATTTTGGTGCTAAAGCTTTCAAAAGGAGGGAGAGCATGCAGGCAGAAGTTTTAACTAAACCCAAACTTGACTGTTTCTGCTTCTCAAGAATGAGCTTATTGGGCTAAAAATAATCAGTGCTTCACAGCTTGAGTGCACAAGCCCCTTCTGCTGTTGGCATGGCAACACTAAAATATTCTGCTAGTACAAACGCTCACCACTAAAATTTTACTTTTAGGAACAAACTGAATCATGAGAGGCAGAAGCTGCCTCCTCCTTGGGCAGGCTTTGCCCAAAGGGTGCATCTGGGCGCGGGAGCACTTGGTCCCAGCTTACAAACTCCTGCTTAAGGGGCTGAGTAAGAACCTCTGTCACGAAAACTGCAGTGTATCATCTGCAGTGAGGGCTCTCACTCCT